AAAACGGTGCACACCGGTTTGAGCTTGAACTTGCCCCAGTCTTATTCAGTGGCGTAGCAAGTCAGCCCTGGGCCCATATGCAAAAAATTTGTTTTGTTTTTTGGAAGAGTAGGCCTATTGGTTGAATTTTCACATTATATAACATGATTTTATTATCTTAATTTTAACTTTATTCTTAAAATATTATGACATTAATTTTATTAATTAATGCAGGTTTGCATCATATTCTGTGTTGCATTATTTTTATTCATTTTGAGGAATACTGAATCTGTTTTTTTTTTTGTGAGTGAGATGAATTAATGCATATTCATATTTATTTTAGAACTACAGTAACGTCTTCTGATTTCTCTCATCATGGACACAGAAGAGCTATCAATCAATAAATTGGAAAAAAAAAGTATCTTGCGTTACTTATTTGAAAAAGTAACTCTGATATTCTCTTGTAAATTAAAAAGTAATGCGTTACTTTACTAGTTACTTGAAAAAAGTTATCTGATTACGTAACTCGCGTTACTTGTAATGCATTACTACCCCCAACACTGAATGCCATACATGCATATTTTTATATTTGTCCTGAGCTGTTTGATGAATTCAGTACTGTAACACTAGTATCTTGACAATGTAAACATCTAGTATCTGCATATGAAAAATAAAGAGTGTATTAGCAATATTCCTGTTATGGTTTTTGGTATGACTTAAGTTTTCATCTGAACTATGTTTGTCTTGATTATTTGGCTGCCATGTTGAGACATTAATCAGGTGCACTATAGCTATATAATAAACTACCACAGCTGTTATTTGATGAATGGACAGACCGTGTACTCAGTGGAAATACTGATTGAAAAATTATAAACAAATAGACTGTAGCACAGTCATTCTGGTTCATTCATCTCATGCATGATGATGATATACCGTTCTTCTTCTTCAGGTACACCAAGATTGGTTATGCAGGAAACACGGAGCCCCAGTTTATCATGCCATCCTGTGAGCTGCCTGCCAGTTTTAGTTGTTAATGCACAGCAGGGCAGATCAGAGAAGACTACTGCATGTCCAGCACTCAGATACAGGATATAATATTTGGATCACAAAATTAATTAAACTCTGCCTTAGGGAAGCACTATTTAAAGCTCTTATAAAACTCTCAATTCACCACTGCTGTAACCTCAACATACTGTAGGCTCTGAGCCTGTTATCAACAAGTATCCTTTCATAACACTTATTGATTGTTGCTTTTGTCAAACGAAACTGATAAATATTCAAATGTGTGTTGAGCATATTTTATATGAATGTGTAGGGTTGTCATTTCAGGTATTGCAATCAGAGAGACAGCCAGTGTTGGAGATCAGGCACAGAGACGTCTCATGAAAGGGGTGGATGACCTTGATTTCTTCATTGGAGATGAAGCCATCGATAAACCCAATTATGCAACCAAGGTGATCAGTTGTGATCAATCCTACCAGTCTGTTATTTGAAGCTTATAGGCACTGTACAGTCTATCTCTGGAAATTGCTAAGCATATCTGTTGCATATTTGCTAGTGTACACCTAAAACAACCTTTAGGTGTACAGATTATATACAGTTTTTGAGTGTAAAATTAGAAACTTCTTAGCAAGTAGAAAAGGAGACGATCATGTCAATATGTTATGTCAAGAAGAAAAAAAAAACTGCACTTCTCCAACGATTTCATGAAATGTACAAAAGTGTTTGGAAATGTCAGGGGGCAGCAGTGGTTCAATTATCAGGAAGTGTAAAGCTACAACTACTCAGACACTGCCTAGAAAAGGCTGTCTTTTAACGCCCAGCCCAGGATCACTTTGAAGGAGTTACAGGGTTCAATAACTGAGAACAGAGTTAAGGGGCACCGGTCAACCATATCAAGGGCTTGACATGATATTGAGCTGTATGGAAGATAGGCACAAAAGAAACCATTGCTCAGCTTGTAGTGTGAGTAGAGATTTAGTGATAGAGCGTTTTAAAATCATGTTTGATGAGAATTTGACACTTGTCACCCACAAAAAAAAACCCGCAGCAGAGTTTGACGGTCCCTTGTGAAAACGTCAAGTCAGCTTTATTTATATAGTGCTATATGCAATACAGATGGTTTAAAAGCAGCTTCACAGTAATAAACAGGAAAATAACAAAATCAATGAAGCAAACTTTATCAAAAATTAGACAAATCCAAATCAATATTGATTAACACACTACAGTTAAAATTATAATCAAGAACTTTACATGTGCTTTAGTATGTTAATCAAACATGATTTAAAATTCACTTTAATGTAAAACTTTGAAAGTGTACTTAAGTGTGTTAAGAAACATAGTCATGAAAGTGCACTCTTTTTAAGTTCACTTAAGTGGCCTTTTTTCAGTATTATTTTATTATTTTTAACAATATACTAGAGATTTGAAGTACACTACAAATGCACATTCAGTACTATTAAGCACACTTCTTTTTCACAAGGGGTGTTATGGTGCGTTCAACTCATGTCGGATAGATCGTATTTACGAGTTGAACGCACATGAACGCCACCACAAAGTCGTTATTATGCGTGGGAAACTCTAAATTTTCTTTAAGCCCCGAGTTTCCGAGTTGGGGGCGTGTCAATGAGAAACATGGCGGAATCGATGGATGCAACGTCTGTAGTTGATGGTAAATGTTTGTTTAAATTGATAGTTTTGATGAAGTTTTTATGTGATACAGATTAAAGTGGCTTCGTAAATTACTTTTTAAAAATATTAAAAACGCAAAACACACCTGATGCGAATTCTTTGCTCTTTTTTTTCTATAAGCAGAGTTAACAGACCCTGTTGTATTTTCTTGTCATTTATTAAAAGAAGGTACACCGCCGACTAAACTGACTTGAACGCACCTGACGTCGTAATTACGACTTGTCAACTCGTAAGTACGAACGTCCCAGGAGGACTTGAACGCAGCATTAGCATCATACTGT